CCGGCGTCCTGTGGAAGGACGTCGGATTGTACCAACAAAAACTGAAGGAGCTGGAGGCCAGTCAGGAGGCGCTGAGAATGGAGAACATGGAACTGAAGGAGATCGTCCTCATGCTGGATGAGGACAGGAGTGGAGCCGGCTCACGGAGCTCTGTAGACAGCCAGTCCAGCCTGAGTAACTTAAACGGCCCAGTGCCCTTTCGTGACGTAGGGGACGGTAGTAGCACGTCCAGTACCGGGAGCGCCGGCAGTCCTGAGCACCACCACCACCCCTTACACAAATCATCCGAGGGGAAAATGACATCTCTGAGAAGGTCCGTGGACGACCTGTGCGCCCCTCATTTCCACAGGGGCAGCGGTGAGTGATGTCCCGATACAGCCCCGAATCGTAGTGGTCAGGTCAGCTACATAACGTGATGGAAAGGTTGTTGAGAGTGTTGTGAGATCATGAATTATCAGTTGTAAAACAGCTTAGGTGTTACAGGCTGCGACACATACAGGGGAAACCAACAGAAACGAAAGGCAGTGTTTCTTATGCTGTAGGCTATAAATGTTGTTTTCTGTCAGTTTCACTAAGATATAATGAAACACTTTAGTCAACAGTGTTAGTGTCATGTCAGTTACTGATCTCAGAAGTAGAAGTTTGACAAAATACTTCCAAACCAAGGTCCACTCCCAGCTCATAAAGGACCAGTCCTCTGTGATGGTTTAAAAATGAAACATCAAAGATGCTAAGTCCTGTAAACTGAAGCACATGAGGAAAAGGTTAAGTGGACACTGAGTTTGGATTGTTATGTCAAACTGTAGTTATCAATACTGTTATGCTGATCAGTACACAGGTAAATGTGCGAAACAGGTGTTTTCCATACTAAATAATGTTTTTACCTATCACTTGGCCCCACAGTGGGTTAACAGGCCATGCTGTCTTAAATCTGCTAGGCCCCATCACAGATGGCACCATTCTCTAGATCTAATGTGACATACTGTACCTTTAAACTTACCATTATACTGACTGAATATATTTTAAGCTGCTTTTAACTCATACCCTCACTAAAGCAAAGTGTAAATACTTGTTAGCTTAACAAATGTCATATCTATGGTGTATCAGTTTAGCTGTTGTGCCTGGCCCCTCTGGCTTGGGTGGTAGTTTCATCTGTATGCCACAGCCCACTCAGTAATCACTACTTATTTAAATCCTCTAGTCCTTCTAGTGGCTACATCACAAAACAACAAACAGGATACAAACAAATCTAACTAGCATGCTGCCTTAGGAATATACCAAATAAATCAACCAAATCTCTTCATCTGTCTCATCTTAGCAAACAACACACCATACACTTCTGTTCACAGTATCATAAGTTAACACCACAAGTTTTGCACAGATCTATCTTTGCCACCTTCACGCACCTCTTCTAACCTACAGCCACTCACCGGTACTGCCTGCTTTAGGCTCAGCCCTCAAACTCATTTCATTTCATTTTATTTATTTAACCTTTAGGTTACCAAGAAGTCCCAGTGAGATCAAGATCTCTTTTTCAGAGGAGACCTGGCCAAGATGGCAGTCATAAAAATTTACAACATATTAAAATTCAACACATAGAACACAATATTCCTAGATTTGTACAATAATTCCACTGTGTAAGACTATGGGAAAAATGTTTTACAAAGCTAACTGAACTCAGCTTTATTGAGACATTTTTATTACAGCATACAAATTTACAGCATATTAAAATTCAACACATACAATGCAATATACAAAAATTGCAGTCACAAGATGAAAACAATGGGTTCTCAAGACACAGCTACATGTCTCCTTCACCACATTCTTTATGATGCCCTTAAATTCTACAGTAGATATGAATGTGTCTAACTTTAGATCTTTCTGCAAGTTATGACCAAGGTGCATAGTAGGAAAGTGCAGTTTTCCCCAGATCTGTCAAAATTCTAGGCACATTAAAACATAAACCACCTGGAACAGCGTAGCTGGTAACCAGCAGAGCTGCGAGCTGGACGTTTACCCAGTATCGCTTTATAGATAAATATATACCAGAGTTGTTGTCTATGAAGGGTCCATCCCACCAACTCAATAAAGAATGCAGTAGCGAGTAAGAGACTTTGCATTTGTAATGAAATGCAAGGATACATGGTACTCTGAATCAAGGCTTTGTAAAACAGAGGAGGCTGCATGTACTGTATATATAATATATAGCCATAATCAATCACAGGTTGAAAAGTAGTTTCCACAACTCAGCATTGTAAGTAAAACAAGAATTATTATATTATAATTATTATAAAGAAAAATTATAAAATACAAACCTTACCTTAGGCTTCCTAAATAGATTAGCAATATGCACAGTGAATAAAAGCTTATCATCTATTCATAACCATAGGAACATGTAGGGCACTCCATAATATGTTTTCCAGCAGATGTGAGAATGCTACAGTTATCAAGCAACTGTGAACAGGACCATGAACTTTTTTTTTTTTTTTTTTGTATGTATTTAAAAGCTTTTTTAAACTCAGTAGAGTCTTTTGTAAAGACTGAAATGCAGTCTGAAGCTTTTGGACCACCTGAGCTACAGAGGAAGAGTGTGTATAAATAGTTGTATAGAGGTGGTAGCACAGAGGTGTATTTTTACTTGAATATCCTTACCTAAATCATTTATAAAAATAGAAAACAAAATAGAAAAGAAAATCAGATTTATGGCCCTCTGCATAAACACAATGTGTTTGATCTACAGGATAATTTTGGAACCATTTAATAGCATTAGGACTGAAACCAACATTCCCACATTGTTTAAGTAGCAGTTCATGGTCCACTAAGTCAGGCACCTTAAAGAGATCCACAAATACAGATACGACTGATCTACCAACCAAACCTCTACAGCCAGTCTCTACTGGGCAGGGTTTAGCTTTCCAACCACACCCCTCTGCGTCTGCCAGAGGGGTGTGGTTGGAAAGCTTTTTCCTCTCATAGGCCATTTCTAAAGCATCTTCCCATGGTACTGTCAGCTCCACAAAACAGATAATTATGTGTTTCTGACCATAACACAGGACCAGGCACCTCAAAGCAAATTCATAATCTATCAGTTGCTTTGAAGTGGTACTATGCCCAATGTCTGTTTTGCCTTCTGTAAAGGAGAACTTAACTCTTCTTCGAGTGCTCAGCTAATTACA